TTAAGATTTGATAAATTAAATAAATAAAAATTATAATAAATTATTGTTTACTTACGAAGTTATTCAATTGCAAAGTTCGCGAGTTAAGTGATGCAAAACATTTGATCGCCACTGTATTTTTAGTTCGTTTTCCTGTATATACTAATTGATTACAAGAGAAACAGATAGCAATACCAATTTCAGGTGCATAACTTGTATAAAATCCACTATCATTCCAATATATTTTTAACTTTCTAGCTTCAAGATATTTTTTGCTATTATAAGGTAAGAGATCATTTTCTCTAAAATATGTAAGACATTCCCAAATCCGTTTCATCCACTCACTAGGAGTTTCATCTGCATGAACTTGAGGCATTTTACAATATTCATACCATTCTTCATCGGTACAATTAGTTCCACGTAATTCGCTTAAGCTAACCATTTTATGACTTATTTGTGATGTTTATGGGAATTATATTGTATTTAAGTATTTAGACGTATTTGATTTGATAAGTATATACTCTAGAATAATGTGATTCAATTTTAGAACATAATTGATTCTTGAAGCATATCTATAAGAGTGTCATACTCGTCATATTTTATAAATGATATTTGTAATGAAAATCGGAGAGATTCATAAATAGGTATTAAGATATAATTATATGAAATAGATATAACAAATCATTTCAAATACAAATGATAACATATACATAATCATTATGCATAACATGAGCAAGGCTCTATATACAATTTATTTTAATCAATTTATAATACAGAATATATAATTCATTTTTAGATGATTTATTTATATTTAACGCAGATAATCAAAAATATATTTACAAACAATATTTTTATTTAACATATGAAATATATAACTCGACATATTATTTTTTATACTGTGCAGGAAAACCTTTCTTTGCGCCTTCAACATCTTTTATAAAAAAAGAAATATGCATTAGCTATGGAACGATTATTACATAAAGTATAAAGAGATTTGAAATGTAAGGATTACACATACCTATATGCGTTCGTCTATGATTCTTTAATTTCGTTACATTATTTCCAGAACCAAGTATTGGGGGAAGATATTTTGGCTCCCTTGGAGTTTCTTCCAAAAATAATGCCTCATCCTCGTTGCTATTATGATCCCAGTCCAACTCATAATCGGCAAAGAGAGAGCCAAATTTGCGCTTCTGCTTGATAACGGTATTATGGATATAAAAAACTACGCTGTGCTGAACTCCAGCGATGACCGGGAGATTTCCGTGAATCAAAAGGTTCGATCTAAAGGTCACCGCTTGCCCTTGCTTAATGTGGACAACCAACTTTAACTCAGGAAATGCTAATTCTCCTTCGAATTTTCCAAGCGGACAAACCACACAGAGGGAATTACGGTGATCCTTCAAATCGCGGTGAAATTGACAGATGGCATTATAATTGATGCCGACGGTGGAAAAGGCTCCGAATGATTTTGGAATATTTGGCCCAAGATCAAGATTTTTCATTTTGACGTACAAGGCAGGGTATGTATTGCGAAAAAAATCATTAACTAAATTAGACAGTGGTTGAAGCCCTTGAATTAGTTCTTGAACACATGCGAGATGTTCTGGGCAATGGGTAGAAGCAATATTGGCTGTAGTGTAGGGTTTGTTATTACTGTCTGTGAATCCGCAAAAATGTTCTATCAGATTCTGGCAAATTGTTTAGACTGATGGGATGGATGGTTCAGAGTATGAATGTAATAGCGCTCTACTATTATTTGCGTATTTTTTGCAACCTCAGGATCAGCTAGGCTAAAGAAATCCACTACAGTTTCTCCGAACGCGTTCTTAAAACATTGTGAATTGAAGATATGGCGATAACCTTGAAGGTCGATACCCTGCGCAACCTTTTTTGTCGTCTCCTCTGCGATATAAAGTTTATCTGCCGGATTTCGTTGAAAAATTCCACGAATATTACGATCGTCTAGTGGTTTGTTTTGCGCTCCTTCGTATTTATATGCATGCTTAACTTTAAGCCACAGGCGACGACAATGATCTCGAAACTGCTTTCTGGAATTAGGACTAATGAAAAAACATGCCCAGCGTGCAAAGTCTCCCCATATTTTTTTTCGCTCCAAATCAAGACTCGTGAACGTAGTAGAATCGGCGGAGTTTTCGTTAAAAATTTCCAACTCTAGAAGATGCATAAAATCTGCGGGTAACATGGAGGTAGTTGGTATCAATTGAATGCTTTGGGATGGCAAATACTTCTCACCGACATCGTTTTTATATAGTTCGTCATGGATGGCATCCGAAAGCAAATCCAACTGGGAATTAGAAAGTGCGTCAAAATTAAGTGTATAAGTGTTAGGCTTTACAACCTCCGGAGTAAGCAACCTTCGATTAATCAACTTTTTAACAATCTGTCTTTGCAATCTCTTCTCTAGGAACTTCTCCAGAAATGTAAATTCGGGGGGTATAATATTTGTAGGTTCGGAATAATTAACCGATTTAAGATCGCTGGCTAAAAAATCCTCGGATATCCATAAGGTGCAAATATAATCTCGCGATTGATCTTCTGTAGATAGACGCGTTTCTACTTGGGTTTTGTGCTAAAAAGGATATAAAAATTAAGAAATTGGTCACGACCCTGACGAAATAAAGTTTTCTCGGTGGGTACAATTAAATCACTCTTTATAATGTAGCTCAGTGACTTTTAAACCACAGGAAGTCTTCGCGACCTTTCTCTCCTCACTACGCCTTACTTAGAGGACAACGACCGCACCCAAGAAAAAGGATAGAAAAAAAATATCTCAAAGAGGCGCCCCTCTAAAGGGTCAGAAAAAATATAAAGTGAAGTTTTTTCGCACTAGGGAGGGAATAGACGGATCCTAGGCCTGCCTCAAAAGGCGATGACTGCCCCTAAACCCCACTTCATATTACCGTGCAATAAAAAAATATCTTTCTCACGCTTTATCCACTAAAAATACCCATAACCACAATATATCTTTTATACTCACTTTTTTGGGGTCGTAAAATATCTCTGATCTTTCGTCGTCTGCTTGATTGTCTTGGTTGTTGATAGAATCGGATGTGTTGCCTTGGTCATCGTTGGAATTGGGTGTAGTGGGTCCTTCGTCAATTGATTGGTTAGTGTGTTCCGCAAGCTTTGCTTTATACGTCGTTGCTCCTTCCTCCGTAAATTCCGTTTTGTGAATTTCGATAACACTGGTTCGTTTCGCTTACTGGTAGACGCGTCCATTGCTTGCTTAATCCCTACAACAGAATGAAAAACATGGAACAAAAAAAGGGTTCGAGGTATATCAAGTAATATGCAGAGAAAAAAGACAAAAGCAACGCAATTCGACGAGCAGTTAGAAATAAAAATAATTCCTAGAGCCGAGTCTTGCTCAAGAAGAATAGCGTTTACTTTCGCGGAAAAAAAGAAGCGTGGGAAGGAGAGACGAAAGAAATTGATTATCAGTAAGGGTATATACAGTATAATGATCTGCATTCGTCTATTTCGGGTATGTGAATATACGACTTTATTGATATATATTTATCAATGAAACTGGCACAGCCAATCTTGATTGGCTGATCGACGTATATACACCCCTTACCAATCAAGACGAGAGAGTCCCACAGTTCACTTAATATTCTGTAAACCGCAACACGTTACACATCCAGATCCGCCGAAACATTTAACTCTCACGCGGTTCGTATCAAAGTCGCTTCATTTTGTGAAAGAAATAAGGTAAATATTCTGGAATCGTTGGTCCACCTGCAGTTAACACGCACGAGCATTGAGGAAAAAAAGCACATCTTTCACGACGTGCATATCTTAAGGAAAGTATGTGGTTTATTACCTAGTGCTAGCCACGCGTAACCCTACTGGCGTTGGCCATTACGTCCTGCGTTAGATGCTTGGCGCTGGTTTGTGGGATCGTCCTTTAGCATGCGTGTTGAAGGCCTTGAATCCTGCACGCCATCGTCCAGGTTGCGTTACGTATACCTACTGGCGTATGGCCATTACGTCCTATGTCAGATGCTTGGAAGCAGTCTGGAGGATCGTCCTTTAGCATGCGTGTTGAAGGCCTTGATTCCTGCATGATGTTTTCCAGTATACAGTTGGCTATCATTGTGTTTCTTCTATCTAGGATTTGTAGCGCTTTAGAAGTTCAGAAACTTATTTGTCTCTTTATAGATGTTTGCGGAAATTATACATAGCTACCTCGACAGTGTGAAATATACAAACTGGTCAATTATTTCAATATTGGAGTATATAGCATCAAACAACACCTTGTATGCTGATATGTTGGACGGTGTAAAAGACGAAATCTATGTTGTACTCCAGGACTACAAAGATGGGAAAAACATCAACCAGAATGCTAAGAAGAAGGTGGACAAATTATTATCTACATATAATAAAAGTTTTATGACTGTTGAAGTATTGCGGTTCAAGGATAAATTGCGATGGAAAGCGGAAGAGGAGGAACAAAAGGCGGCGTTGAGAATGAAGGCAGCCTCCGCTTGTACAGTTGAAGATTTAGAGGGGATCTCAAACTTATGCATGCAAATACGTCGACAATAGCTCACTAACAATTATTTCAGGAGTTCCATACCAACAAGATTCTTGTCAATGAATAACCGGGCGAACGCAATGATATTAATCTCTCCTCAGAAATCTTGTCATTACTGGTAATTGAGATTAAATTTATGCACCGATCGAATTTCGTACATTTACTTACAGATCCTTTTTTGACACCCTCATAAAAAGAAACGTGTGGGCAGAGAAGTTCACGGATTAGACTCCGATGATGAGGTAAAACCCATTTTATTTTCCAAATTTTGTGTTGCTCATATGTTACAAATTTTCTTTTGTTGATAGGAGCGTTTTTATAAAAAGCCTAAAAATGCGAGTATCTCTTTTAAATTAAAAGAGCACACTATCTTATTGCATTTCAACATTATATCACTCGTATTACTTTATGTTCTTCCTTAATTGAAAAATTCCGACTTTCTATATGTTTACAGTGCGATGAACATTCATTCGACGAAAACGACGATCAGGCAGGTTTGGAACATAGTGGTTAAACGTATTGTTCTAGCTTCTTCACGATGGTTTTTTGTGGGTTTATTAGAACGGGATCTCGGAACAATTCGAAGTTGAACTGAAGAACGTTGCCGATGGTGACAAATTTGGTGAATGGATACTTTCAACGGGCAAGAACGTTTCTCAAACTCTGAAGGAGTTCTGAGCAAAGATCCCAAAAACGAAGGCTTTCCTCTAGTTAATATCATATGCTTTCATAGGATTATATTAATTCTCAATGTATTCATATTGCGCATTATTTCTTTGATAGTCCCGCTTTTTTTGGTATATTAGATCTGTCTGGGGACGACACTGAAGTCAAGGAATTCTTCACAGACGAGAAATGGTGCGAGATGAGATCTGATTTCAGTAAAACAGTAACATTCCAAGGGATTGACGAGCAGGAGGAAAAGCTTCTGTACAATCTGTTCGACGACGTCGAAAAGGTAAACGAAAATTTTGTTTTTACATTACACAATTTGATGTTTATTTACATACGAGTTCGCATAGGTCTTGAAAAAGAAGCCAACTGATTTAGTTACCGAAATCGAAAAATGCATAATCGAGGGTTGTCCGAAGATTAACGTTATACGACGACTTATCCAAACATAGTGAGTTAATTGACTATAATGTTCTTTGTTTTTTAAAGGTGGTGTTAAATATGTGATTCATCCCATTCGAAAAGTGTGTATAACCTGGAGAGACTGGGCAGCACGACCTCAGAGGCTGCTTTCTGCAGCAATTTTATAAACATGATGACGAAGGGTATCCTGACTTATCAACAAAAGTTGGTATATGACGAGTGAGTACTGCAGGTTCTCTCCGGTCTATATTCCGATAAGTTTGTGATTACTTCTAACTATATTTCGTATTTGTAGAGGAGAAGTCCAAAGCCTCGCATCAGCGCTAATAGCAAATTCAAGCAAGAAACCAACCGACAGGTCTCTCATTGGTCAAAAGTGTGAATTTAGAGTTGCAGCTGATGGGTTTGAGGCTATTGTTGGACTTAGATCAGGAGGTTTGCCCGAGGCGTGCAAAGCAAAGAAATGGGATGATAAGGTCGACCTGATGGTCGCTATGCGTAATGTTATTTTGAAAGAAGCGATTGAATGCAATGGCGTCGATTGTCAAGATTTCAAGAGAATCTATACTGTACATTAGGAGTCCATTCATATGGTAAGCATTGATTGTTCGAAAAATGTATTTACAATGGTCAAATCTGGGCTTCTATTGATATTTAAATTCTTTGCGTGTTAGGGTTTTATTACAACGTCTATGCAATGGATTGGAGGGCCAAAGGTTTGTGGCGATTAGGCCTACTAAAAAAAACGAAGCTGCCGCAGTCAAACGGACAGTTACTCATGATTGAGAAACTTGTGACAACGTTACTGCGAGTTGAGGTATTATTATTATTATTTTTTTTTTTTGTCATCTAATTTTTTACTTTTGGGAACTAAAATTTCTTTCTACAGTCTACAGTTACACACATCGAAAGTATCCGGAACGATTTGGCTATCAAAGCCTCAAGATTATATAGAGACAGGCGCAGTTCAGTCATTCTTAATCAATATGCGATTTGCGAAGAAGGACGCATACGACGAATACGTGTTAAAAAACATATTGAAAGGGAAGAAGGAATGTAGAGTGTATACGATCAAACAACGCATTTTCTAAAATGGAATGAGTTGTATGGGGGGTTAATATTCACGGAATTGCACTTATCGTTGCAGATGAGACTAAAGAGTTAGAGGAAAACGTGATTTATTGATATGATTTATTGCGTAAAAAATCTATTGGTACAGTTATTAGACCACGAATTAAAAATAAATAATCGCTTTATTGATATCTGTACAATGTAAAGCTAATCCGGCGGATGGAAGTATGAAGTAGAGGGCTATAGATATAGTATCAATTGGTTTTATTGTTTCACTAAGCATAGAAAAAATCTACAAAATCACTTTGAAAACAAGAATAAATATAATGCATATAATCAATAAAATGAACAAGTTATATATATTCAAAAAAATTATACTAATAAACTATAATAGAGTCAACTAACTCTTTTTGCTAATCCTGACCACAAACAAAAAAGATATTTGCAAAAAGTTTTATACTTCTTTGTTAATAAAGTCTTTATACTTTTATTAAAATGATTTGAAGCTTGTTTTCATTTATTTTTACTACCCTTTCGTATTTGTTTATAAACTCTTTCAAATAAAAACTTATATCTCTAGTAGCTTGAATAGACTCAAGTATATACTTTCTTTACCAAGGGCAAAAAGGTTCTAGAAAATAAAAGAACTAACAAGTGAAGTATTATTTTACATAGTTGGAAGTAATAAAAAATAAAGATTTTGTTGGCAGAGGAAGGCTTATTATTCCCTTTCTCATATATTGTGTTATAATCTCTTAGAGTGTCTACTATTTTTTCCAATTTTTTTGAGAAATTTTATCTACATCAGTTTAATCCTGAATTTTTGATAGCACAATATTAACTGACATCTGATTGGTTGCTATGAAACATGTTAGTTGCTAAATGTAAACAAGTTCCTACTAGTTATTCCACATGTTTTGATAATATCATTAGTGATTGAAAGAGTTGATTGATACTTTATGTTGGCTCTACTCCTTCAATTGGATTAACTTACAGATTAAGTTCTATAAGGTTAATAATATACAAACAACAAGTTCTTGGGTGATAAAAAAGCTGCTATTTATTCAAGCTGAGATCTTTCTCTCTTATTATTCTGGCTAAGTAAAGTTTGAGACCAAGGTTTATTTTTAATTCTGGTTAGGCAATAAGTCTGAATAGTCTTTATTCCATGCTAAGTTCTAATTCTTTGATTACAGTTGAGAATGGATTTTTTTAGAAGTTATTGAAGAATATCATAATTAATAAGAATCTCATCACTTTTTAAAACTTTTTTACCATTACAAGGCAAAAGAATTGTTGAGAAATTTGTTTTTTTGATAATAAAAAATGTATATTAATAAAATTCTTTAATTAGGTATGACTGTTGGAAGGTATTATTCTAAAATAGCATGTTTCAATTTCTATTGGGTCATATAAGAATCTGGGATCCATTATAAGTCATCTCTCTATTACAGGTGAGTAAAAAATCACTGCCTAAAGGAGGTTAAGACTAAGTATATCCTGGAAGTAAAGGCCTTTACTACATGATAAGTTTTATTAGATGGTATACAAGAAGGAAATTAAGATCAAAAATGAATAAGTTCCTTAGATAGTCAGAAGAAAAAATAATATCTCAATTAGGCATTTTTTATTAAGAAAAAGTCTTAAAAAGCAGGTCTTTAGAGAAAACTAGAAAAATAATAACCAAAATGAATGGATAAGAAAGGAAGCACGTACCATCATAAAGACAATCGGGGAATGAATGAAACCGATAGGAGTTGAAGTTATTTCGACCACGAAGACGAGCACGAGAATTACCCGAGAAACCAGAACGAGGAGAACGATGATAGTTGATCATACTTAATGAGAATGTGTGAACAACAGAGGAAAGAACACATTCTTAAATAATAGGATTAAGGTTCAGACAAGAAACTTTACAACAAACAAAACAC